TGGGATAATAGAGGATAATTGATGATAAACTGTTGATATAGACAGACGAAATACTTTAATCAAATATAAGGTCACAACAATCAAATTTGAAACGATTGTTATTATGTGATTCATTTAATCAGATTCGTAAATGGTATCACCGATTGTAGCTTATCAAAGGAAAAGCGCCTATTAATGTATTTTGTATAGATTATTGCACACAATGCTCAATATGTTACTGTTTTGGACCTGTTGACACACTTCGATCTAAGCTTCTTCTCGAGAAACTAACGCTTTATTTAAATCGTGATATATACAGTCATTAAATCATCAAATTTAATTCACAAGTTGTAAAAACTGTGATGTATGTTAATATGAGAATACATTAAGTCATTGATTGTACAATACAATAAAATCTTTTCATATAAACGGTAGGAAATGTTATAATCTTATTCTTACAGTTGATATATTGTTCTTGATAATATACATAAGTTATTATACTGAAACAGACACTTTCCTTTTAACTCTACATCAGTTTCTGTATTTTCATTTCTAACTCATTTTATCGATTTAATATTAATCGAAAGATAGCAGTTATTTTCAATGCTATATTGTGGAAATAGATTCACCGTTTTCTCTTTAATGGTTAAATCATAAGAACATTAAAATGTCATAAATGGGTGAAATGTGATCAATTTTTGTTGATGATAGAAGCGAAGGTCGATACTTGCTATTACAGCTTGTATGGTTTTAGAGAATATTACGAGCAAATAAAGATAATTACTTCTAAGCACTTATTTAAGAGCTTAGTTTTATAGAATGAAATCAATTTAATTGATAGAAGATGGTCTTAATAATTGTCCACAAAATCAATTGTATAGAATGGTCTTGAATCAAAGTATTTTAAGGTATAATGAAACGTTTTAGAATTCAAATCAATAAATTTAACGAATATAAAAATACCAATTCAAGATGGGCGATTAACAGTAAATAATGTTGATGTTAAAAGTATGCACTAGTTAAAAACATACTCCTGGTATATATCTTGAGATTAATGAATAAATAAAACCAACCAAATGTTAATAAATTTATAGCACAAGTCTTGGCGGTTTTCAAAACTGTATGATGACGAAAACCTCTGAACGGGCTTTTGATGTGTTATTTGCAGAATTGCTCTATATTCGTTGTCGTGAACGCAGATAGCGTTTTGAAGAGTTGCACGACCAGAGCAACTATTTATATTCGGGACTACTAAGGACTACAAAATTAATACAGGGGACACTCTATTTCAGATTTGAGTCAACACTTTAATAATTACACGTTTTCCCCTGTAGTCCTATTAAACTACTTTCAACAAGTGTATAGTTAGTCTTGCATCAAAATAGATAAAACTCAATGAAAAGAATAATAATATATAGCTGTTTAATATAAATCTCTCTGCACGGAAAAGGTTCAGAATTTTTGCGCCAAATTGCTTTTTAATGGGATAATGGAGGATAATTGATGATAAACTGTTGATATAGTCTGCTAGATAATTACTCGATCTGAAATTAAAACCATAAAATATATGTACATGTCGGAAATGAAATTGGGAATATACATTAACGAAGAATTTAATTACATTAAAGTACTTATCTTGTATCCTTTTTTTTATAATGTAATCGATTAAACCCTCGCGAGTCTATCTCAAGTCATCTATTGTAAGTACATGGTAATACATCTAACGCTAGTAGCTTCATCACTAACCATTTGTTGTTCCTATTTCTCATATTTGGTGGTTAAATTGTAAACAGTTTATAAGACCAGAATTTATCGTGACAATGAATGGCACTGAATACTGGTATAAATCTACATATGACTATTTATTATTCAAATGGTATTTAGGTTATCACTCAGGGAATTATCTTGTTAACATCATTATGCCAAATGATTCGGCATATTTAAACAGGAACACAATACACTATATTATATAGCTAATGAGTAAATGTATCCAGAGGGAACGAGTGTTAATATTATCAAAACGACGAGAAATCCAGTATAATTCTGAGATCAGAATATATCCGTTAGGTTAGTCATGTCTGTCATATTGGCGACATAAATGATGTCTTATAAGGAAAAAGAAGACGTTACACATTGGAAATGTAGAGTAAAAGAACACTTTATTCACATTAACGTAACTTGACAATAGATAAAAAAAAAAGATTGCAAGATGATCTGAAAACAGTGTCCGATTTAACTTTGTAATATTATAGTGAAGATATACGAGATCCGTGTCAATTTCATGTACACACGTGATGAAGAAGCAAAATTTGGTTTGGTATTCCAAGATAGGAGATATATTTCATAGCATTAGTTTTAGTCGTGGTCAGTACAATTGGAACGCACTTTTCATGTATGATTGAAATCACATTAAGTATGCCTTAAAACATCGTCATACAGCCTGGCTCTTCGTTAAGAAATCTGCAAATTTTAAATTTTCCCATTATCATATACTCTATACAAGTATGATTGCAGACTATATACTACACATAGACCCCAGTGAGTCTTTAAAACTGAAACAGAAAGAACAGAGATTCAGCTTCGAATAGATTTTAAGATCCAATAAAACATGATTTATAACTTTCTATATGTATCATTTCCATTAAAACAAATAAGATTGGTGTTAAGTGTATATAGTCTGGTGTGATTTCAATGAGACAAGGGATTTTCCACTAAAAAGATGTATTTAAAATATAATATTTCAATGTCAAGATAGCGACCTGGTAAATCTCATGAGTGTCTATGTGAGTTTCTGTTTTGAATTTCGAGATATATCGTTGCTGGGGGCTCCTTGTTAAAGCTTGCGTGATAGTTGTAAACTCATGTTTTATCACTGCAATTTTCTAGGAACAGAACTAACAGCTACAATTACAAAGTCATTGGCCTATTACACTTTACGATTATTGGGTTCAAAATTTTTTTCCGCTCACCGTTTTAGCCGGTTGATCAGAAGTTTGCGATCTTCTTTGTGATTTTTTTTTCTATTCATTGAAGTCAAAATTTGTTGGATGGACATAACTTGTATCCAAGTCCGAGAAGTTATGCTGTACTTAAATAAAAGATCTTGTTTTTCCAGCTATGTACGTTTAGTTTACACGGGCGTTTTATTTTTGGATTTTCTTGTATATGAAATATGTATTCCATGTACTTGAATAAAGTAAATTAAGATTATTAAGCTACGTTGACTAAATCTTCAATTTATTATTGTTTTAGATAGTAGAGATCTATTGGAAACGCTGATCTTTGATGTTTGATAGATAGCCCGTGTCTATTGTTGGATGGATAGAGACAAGAAACTAGACTGATCATCAACAGACTTGATTATATGGTTTCAATCCATTTGGTTGATATCAGCTGTATAACTGGTCTCTAGTGAATTATAATAAGCTTCACCAGTGATAGGGGATCTGGAGTTTTTCTATTTCGTGTCGTTAAATCGAACTGTCTATACTTTTTCACATCTTTCTGTCAATAAATACAGACCTAGGAATTTAAACTCCTTATTTCTAATGACATTGACACAAAACAGACTAAATAATGTCTGACCAAAAAGCATTACTCCTAAGCTATAAGAGGTAAATTGCGGTTATCATTTGTCTACCTTCAATGCTTGACCAACCTTGTGTCAGCAACAGGAATACAAAATCTTGGATTGGTGTTTTCTCAAATTTGTCAAATGCGATCGATGTTCACATCTAGATTGTTTTGGTTCTAGAATATGGAAAAGAATTCTGATATTCTTGTAAAACCTTATGGTTGAACGCCACGTATTAGTGGAATCTGTGACGTCACACAGCCCACTGTAATATTTCATATAGATTACACGATTTCTATTAATTAAAATCAAATGTTTTAATAACCAGTTTTTTTTATTTCTATAGGATTTTTTAACAATTGAGCTATGACAGGCTTCAATGATGTCTGTAACCCATAACCACTAACACCGTGAAACACTACTTGACATACTTGTCACAATAAATGACTAAAACACAAGAATGTCTATTTTAGAAGATAAAAGAACTGTCCTAACATGAAGTATTTTCCAGTAATCTTCAATTTCCACTCTTTTATCTATTGATCAAATCTTGTTTTGCCTCAAGCAAATATCAATAAGAATGTTTACTGACTGTAACAACCTTAAAGATAAATTGTTTGTATGTGTGAGACATTGACATCATTCTAAAATTATTATAAATATAATATTACTTATTCATTTTTATTACTTGTGAGTTTTCCAAAGCAAACTGGAATTTGCACTTCTTTATGTTTCCATAGAAACCAATAATAATATCTCAGTTTCCACTGCAATTACATTTGCACTTCTCATTATACACGGAACATTAATGACATAAACAAAAAAATAGTTTAAAACCAGAGTAAATATTTTCATCTACACAAATCACATAAAATCGTCCATTGTAAAATAGATTAATTCGGTAAAATTCTTAAATGTAAATAAATTGTAGTAATTTTTATCAGCTTTTAAAGAAAGAATCTCTTTCAAGTACAGAAAAGTATTACTGTGAAATTTCAATATAAAGTTACTTGTTACCTCGCTATTATGTATGGCTAAGGTGTGATGAATACACCCGACTGAATGTTATTTAATATAATACATTCATCATGTATATTTGATTATATTTATCATATTCTGTATATTTTCATATTTATTCATATAAAATCTCTTCAAAAAGAAATGCTTAGAATTTTGAAACGTCTTCGGCTTGATGAAAACTAAAGTGAAAATATGTTTATTGGAAATTCGAATTTACATACAGTATTTTCAAAATGTGGGTCGGAGCCACTGCGTCACTTAGCTTAGCCTTATTCAAATGACCACATCCTAAATTTCTAAAGACCTGAAGACATTTTCAAACAAAAACATATACATATGATAATTCGATTTGTGAAATGACAGAAAAAAACCAATTCAGAAATCATACGAAGATTGTTTTACATATTTCTGTATTGTTGTATTACAGTGATATCTATAGATTGTTATGCCTGTACATCATTAGGTGGTAACAACGAAGGATGTGAAGATAGTTTTGAACGAACACTAAAAACTGTACATTTTATAGCCAGAGATTGTTATTATGGTTATTTTAGAGGAACACATTGTTATAAGCTAAAAGGAGAGAGAGGTAGGTTATATATGATATTTCCCGCTATTAGTGAAAATACCCCAAATAGTCACGTTTTATGCACCTGCATTTATAGCATACTTAATTTGTAATGTGAACGTATATCCACCCTTGTCACCAACTTCAACTGGTTCTTGAAAGTGATGATTTCAACTTCAATTTTTTCGATAAACCGTATTGTTCCTGTCATAGCATATTAATTTAGTTTATCAGAAACTACTAAAATTGACCTGTATGTAAACGACTGCTCAGTATAAGAAATGGGCCAGTTACATATTGAGTTGACAGTATAGTAGTTAGGTAAATGAATGTTACCTGAAGGTTTTAATAACCACCTGACCTTGCCTGTCTGTCTGGATAATAAGAAATATAGGATGTTCCCATAGTATCTATAATTATCTTTCTTCCCCTTTATAATCAGTAGACTTTCATAATAACTTTCTGTCTCGATTGCTTTTTTTACTTACTGTCAGATTTCTAATTATTATTCACCTTACGAGAAAAAAAGCCAATTGTGAGATTGATTTTTTTTTTCTGAAAGTTTTCAAGCATAACGCGAAATTTAAACTTTAGTCTTCTGTCATTAAATCGATAGAAACAAATTGAAATTGTTAAGTTGTACCCAAAAGGATTTAGATGTGAGAGATCTGTCATTGTGAGTAATAGCAGTATGAAAACAATCTATCGAGAATTGAAGCAACGAGTTTACTTTTTAAATTTGGCTTTATAAACTACATAAATGTTTTTCAGCGGATGGAAGCAGTATAATGGTTAGACACTGTTCAGACAGCCACTGGGGCAGCCATTGTGGTGATATCAAGTATACTAATGAGCATAACGTAGAAGAAAAAATCAAGGGATGTTTGGAAACTTGCGACCATGATGGTTGTAATACAGCAACACAGAAACAATTTAACTTCAGCCTTGTTATTATGGCAGTTCTAATGACTAGTGCATTATTATTGTGAGATATCGAATTTCTGTATAAATATGATATGGTTGTGCTTTGAATTGTTATCTAAAGACATACTACCAACGAAATGTTAGGCACTCTGTGTTAATAATGTATGTCGAAATCTATGCATACTTTCTCTATTCAAGTTAATGCACATTATTTTTGTATATTCCGATATCTAACTTATCACTCGTACCGCAAGCTCTATACATTACATTCAACAGATCATGTGATCCACCCACATTAACCCTGTATGTATGAATTGTTTAATTGTTTTCAAGGTGATCATTCCAGATTGAAGTCGTGAGAGTCATCTTAATGACTGTCAGGCTTGAATGTGATTGTAATGTAAACAGAATTGACAGAAAAACTAGCTGCCAACACACTAAACTACAAGTCTATGATATCGTGGATGAAATTCATACATTACCTGCATAATGTGCTTAATCGTTAACGTTTTAGGATGTTAATATAGTTATTGCTGTAGATATGCATTAATTGGTTTAACTTCCCATTTCTCATAATGCTTCCAACTTTGTAGGATAAAGTTGTATTATTCAGACACGACGTTTAGGTATAGCCTCCAAACTCACGGCGCCATTGAATTGAATAAGATCATTTCTTTTTTCATAGTAACTCATTTTATTTACCACCCTCTCATCAGCACCAAGTTATGCAATAGAGAATAATATGATAGTATGCTATCTCTTTTCAACAGTTGTTCTCATGATTAGCTTCTTATAAAAACCAATAAACACAACAAAGGATTTAGCTAGAGAACTATGATATGTAGCTATTCCCTCCCATTATAGCCCTTTCATTGTTTCAAGGTACCAATCGTTTCAATCGTCAATGTGCAAGGTTAGAATGGAGCTCACTACTATACAACTTTTACTCTAGACTTTGTCTTGCTCGTTCTGAGTTTTATTAGACTGTTTCAGTAGTTGTATGCTGTTGGATGCTGTCGTATGTCAACATTTATATTTTAGACCGAGTTGACTTATTGCTTTCATAATTATGTTGGGCATTCTTATAAAAACCAATAAACACAACAAAGGATTTAGCTAGAGAACTATGATATGTAGCTATTCCCTCCCATTATAGCCCTTTCATTGTTTCAAGGTACCAATCGTTTCAATCGTCAATGTGCAAGGTTAGAATGGAGCTCACTACTATACAACTTTTACTCTAGACTTTGTCTTGCTCGTTCTGAGTTTTATTAGACTGTTTCAGTAGTTGTATGCTGTTGGATGCTGTCGTATGTCAACATTTATATTTTAGACCGAGTTGACTTATTGCTTTCATAATTATGTTGGGCATTCTGGCACTATATTAAGTGCTAGCTTATGTCCGGATTTGACGAGTAAAATGATCATTAACCCGGCTTGTTACGATTTTCTTAAGTATGGTTATTCAGTAAATGTGACAAAATTAATTTTTGGACTGAAATTTATTATAGTCAATTTTAGTTATTATAGACAAAAAGATCCTACTATCTTTTTACGCTTCATGATTCTTGTTACTTGTTTTTCATTTTCTTCTTTCACGATATGCCTTGTACAAATTATTATAGACCAAATAAAGATTGCACTTAATTAATGAACAAAATAATATATCGATTGAGTTGGAAGATAATGTAAAGAATGATTGAACATGCTAATGAGAATTATGAATTTTATTATTGCTAAACTTACCGGATATTTCCCTTCCAAATAACCTACAGCATTTATCAGCTTGATAATAAATTGTTGTTACGGAGTCCTTTGAAAACAGTTCAATCGCACCTACCTGTCATCGAATAATCACAAGTATATGAAACGCCCCGGTTGTCAGGAACCACCAACAAATTTAGATCGTTTAGATCATTATGTCGATCTGTAAAAAGTTTAGGCCTCAGTAGATAGCGACGATTTCTACGAATAGTAGCTACAATCTGCAACAAACAATATCTAGGAATTACTCTTTTTCCGCCCCCCTATTTTACTTTGAGACAAATACTTGATTATATTCTCAAGATGAGTAAAACAATGACCACACAAGTTTTCTAGCCCCAAAATGTACCCACACAAATTAAATTGAGTAAAATACTCAACTAGAGAGCAAATTTGTAGCTTACTAAACAATTTTGTGGTCTGGGAGCCAATTATTTGATGAATAATCTAAGATGGAGATATTCGGGGTTCCAATTGAACAACAATTATTCCTATGTCTAAATCTTTTTGTGTCCGTTAAAAGCTCGAATAATGGGCAATATCATTATCATGATTAAACTATACATGGTAAACCTTGAAAAATGTTCATCGGCATCTGTTTTACCTAGTATAGTGATATCATATATGGAATTACCTAATCTAATGTTAGCCTTATCTAATGAAAAACCAACGAATTATTACATCTAAAAATACAACAATACCCCAGGGAGACAGAAATGTTGTTGAGATAACTGATTAGAAGCATATTTATATATGACCTGTAGTTGATTTAAAGTTATCATGTCACACTATACAGTGTACAGTTCGAATCTATTCTCTATTCTCACATTAAAAATTCTCGATGGTGTTTGAATTGAATTAAGGTATTTGATGAGGTAATTAGGGATTATTCTGACTAATGGCAATGAATGTGCTCTTTGACATTACATATTTCACTGTTTTAATCAATATTCAATTAACCCGGAACCTGTTCATGCAATTGCATAAAATATTACTCAGAACCATTCTATTTATTAATTTGTATTAAATATCGAGAAACAGTTAGCTATATATGATCTCACAGGAAATGTTGTAATGGCAAACAATGATTCTTTATCACAAATAAAATGTCAGTAGATGAATCATTTCAACTTGATCAAATTCCACGTAAATATCATTTATATATATAAAATATTCTTGCTGTAGAAAAATGTCAACGTGAAACTCCCGATTCTACGGATGTTATTTCGTTTAAACGAATTAATTATTTCGTTTAAACGAAATAATAAATAAATATGTTTACAATTGCGCCTTAGGGGCTCCGTACGATTCCCTGTAGCTATGGGCAGACATATTAGATTTTTGACGTTTTACGGCATCGTCACTGGGGTTAATTCTCAATGGATATCTTTACTGGTTTGTTCTCTGTCTGAATAGTGTACGTCTGGTCTATAAGGACCATTATGATAAGAAATACGGTGTGCGAATGATCTAACCGAAATGGCCTTACAACTAAATGAATATGAAAGCTGGCTATCCTCGAGTTAAATGGCAAAAATGACTTTTTAAATCTATGCTCTCTAACATGGCTAAGTCCCAAGAAAAGGCGAGTCGTCATTATAACTTTAAAACACGAATAATACGGATACAAATTGATAAGAAGACTCATGTTTCGACGGTAAGCTGTGAACACTATAATTCAGGGGTGGGCAACCTTTTTGACTGAAAGGATCAGATATGACAAATGACCGGGCCGAACTTATGATGCTTGATTGAGATGTTGTCATTCCAAAATCAAAAAGATTGCTTACTCAAATTGTAGCTTTCAATATTTGTACACCAGTTACGTAGCAAGATAGAACTTATCAGAGTTGTCAGGTCCCCGACTACGACTAACCTTAAGTAAATTCACGACCAACTACATGTTCCTATATCAACTGTACGATGATTATTCACATCTAACCGTTGCTCTCACAATCCCATATTAGCGTCATTTGAGACTAATAACCCCCCTTGGCAGGCCATACGTCACCTTTCGATATATCCAATCAGGAAACTTGTAATATTTGGAGTAAAAGGACGGTAATTGAAAATGGCGACAAATTGGTGGAAACTGTTGCAGATTCGCACTAACCCACTGAAACTTGACAGAAAGGTACTTACACGACGGGTCCTTAAAATTCATCAAATATTTCAGAAAATTCAAACGCTTCCTTCCATTATGAATTCATTTTTAAGTTCTCAGGTGGGATTTTACCGCGGTAACGACGAAATGAGAGGGGGCATAACTCATTTGTGTAGTCGTACTTGCTTTGTTGAGTCATTGATTCGCAGGTCATTTGGAATAAATGTGATTATTATTTGAGGAGGCGTAAAAATTGTTGATTTTTTTATTCTTACTCTGAAAACTATCAATGCAATTTGGCACTATATGACAACTTTGGCACTATATGTGAACTTTGAGATTTAGAAGAAAGTAACTTTGGTACTTCAAATTTTAGGTCTGGTTATTCAAACTTTTCCTGCAAAATGTTGCTTGAAGGAATATAATTTGTAGAGAAATAAACCCTCTACCAATCAAAATTAATGACGAGAATATGGGAATGTGAGAGCAACGGCTAGATGATCTTTATCATCGTATCGTTGCTAAAGAACATGGACCAATTATGGGTTTTGCAAAATAAGAGAAAATCCATCGCTTGTTCTGCGCCAACACTGACGAGTGAAACTGAAGGGTAACTGTACTAACGTAGTAACAACGTTCAATTATCGATCCCCATAATGCAGATAATGGTCAAACAAATATTACAAGTCATTACGTTACATCAAAAAGGTCACACCTATTTTCGAAACGTTTGTGATGATACGCATGTTGAGGAACGTTTATAGTGCCAATAAATGCAAAGCATTTAGAAATCCATCTATGTACATTTTTTTTCTAGAGACAACACTGGCGAGTCGCATGTTGCCCACCCCTGCTATAATTGATTAGATTAATTAAATAATTTCCGTTTCTGTGACTAAAGTACGATTGATCGAAGAAATTGAAGAACGTGGACCTTTTAATAAATATATCTATTCAAAAAAGACTTCACGGTACTAACAACGATTAATTGTTGTTGTAAATGTGTTTAATCCAGAATACAATTTCGCTTTGGCTTACATCCCTAATGATGAGCTTACCCCTTGGAGTCAAAGAAAAACAGTATAATTAAATCTTTGAATCTCATTGAATCTTTTTCAACTACTGTGCTAGAAAAATAATCGAGAAATTTATACAAATTACTTGCTGCTTCAAGATATCTGTCTGAATTAATTTTCA